GGGCGGGTTTGGGCGAAGAGGGGCCGCAGCGCTCCTCCGCAAGGCCCCTCTCGCCATCCAGTGCCCCGTGTTTAAAGGGCCTGGTCCTGCAAACCTCCGGCCGCAGAGCGAGAGGGCGGGCAGCTCGGCCCCAAGGACCCTCCACCTGCGGGCTGGCAGGCGGGGCCTGTGGGTTTCTCAGGGTTGGTGGGTTTAGGCTGCTCTTCCCCAGCCGAGGCCGGCCCCACAGAGGACAATGAGGGCAGGCTGCCAAGGCAGCCCCGGAGTGGCGTGCCCGTCAGCACCCAGGGACATGGGAAAAGCCGGTGGAGGACGGGCCTGGGGGCTCCTCGCGGGCGCAGCCCATGCCTCGCCCCCACCCCATCACGGTGCCTAGACCAGAGGTGGGAGAAGGTACTCGCCCCCAGCTCAAGGACCTAAGGTCCCGTGGGCCAAGGACCTGGATGCAGGCCAGGGGTTCCTGGGGCCACGGGCCGCCGAATGCACTGGAAAATGATTTTTCTCAAGGCGAACACACGCAACACATCAGCTCCCTTTCTGCCCTGGTCTGGTGACTCCTTTCATGAAAGGATCTCTGAAACGTTATCTGCATCGACACCCAAATTCACTCTCTTTGATCTTTGAAACGCAAATCAAAGATCACATTGTACCTTCACCCGGTCTGTGAGGCTTTCAGCAGCCTCCGCCAAAAATAATAAAAGTGGCACCCGGCCAGGAAACGCCTCCTTGAAGCGTGAATGAAACTTGTATTTTTCGGTTGTATCTTTCCTAATTGACCTGATAATTTAAACTTCCTGCCTCCAAGGAGAGGGGGAGGTTCCGACAATGTGGCTTACCTCCGGCACCAGACAGCTAAGGCCAACTCGGCCCATCCGCAGGCTTGTGTAAAAGACTTAATTCAGCCGGGCCAGGCCATCAGAAAACAACTGTTTAGGTCCAAATTGCGTTTTTCTTCACTTAGGCCATATATACATACATATATATTTTTTAATTGTGGTAAAATATATAACACATGGTATTTAACATTGTAACCATTTGTAGGTTCAGTGGCACTAATTACATTCACATTGTTGTGCAGCCCTTCACCACTATCCAGCTCTAGAACTTCATCACCCCAAACAGAAACTCTGCCCCCATTAAACACCTAACTCCTCAACATCACCTCTTTCCGCAGCCCCTAGTAACCTCTATTCTACTTGTCTATATTAACTTGCCTATTCTAGGTACCTTGAATAAGTAGAATCACACATTACTATTTCACTTAGAATAGTGTTGCTTTTAATCCTCACCCGAGAGAATTTGTTTATTGACTTGAGAGAGAGAGATCTGTGTGCACATACTGGTACACTCCCCAAACAGGGATTGAACCTGCAACCTAGGTATGTGCTGTGATGGGGAATTGAACCCACGATCTTTCAGTGTATGGGATGATGCTTCAACCAACTGAACCACTCTGGCCAGGGCTAGAATAGTTTTAAAGGTTCATCCATGTTGTAGCATCTATCAGAATTTTGTGTCTTTTTAAGGCTGAATAATATTCCATTATGTGTACACAAGAGGCTCGGTGCACGAATTCATGCACAGGTGAGGTCCCTCGGCCTGGCTTCAGATCGGGGCTGATGGGGGAGTGGGCGGCCGGCTGGGGTAGGGACCATGGGAGGTTGGCCAGCCGTAGGAGGTTGGCTATGGGAGTGCGCTGACTACCAGGGGGCAGCTCTTGCATTGAGTGTCTGCCCCCTGGTGATCAGTGTGTGTCATAGTGACTAGTTGACCAATTGGTCGCTTGGGCTTTTATATATATAGATACATTTTGTTTATCCACTTATCTGTTAATGGACATTTGGGTTGCTTCCATCTTTTGGCTACTGTGACTAATGATGTTATGAACATGGATGTACAAATATCTGAGTACCTGCTTTCACTTTTTTTTAGGTATATACATAGAAGTGGCATTGCTGAATCATATGGTAACCCTACATTTAACTTTTTGAGGAACTACCAAACTTTCCACAGCAGCTACATCCCACCAGCAATGCAGTTTCTAATTTCTCCACACCCTCACAATCATTTGTTTTCTTCTGCTTTTTTTTAATTAAGATTTTTTTTAAATTGACTTTGTTAAATTTATCATTGTAAGGGTTTAGATACTATTGTAAATGGTATTTAAAATATTTTTACTTTCCAGTTCTTTGCTAGTATATAAAAATAGAATTGACATTTTATCTTATGCTCTTGCTAAGTTCACTTAATATTTCTAGTAGTTGTTTTATAGATTCCTTAAGCTTTTCTATATACACAACCATCTACAAATAAAGACAATTGTCCTTCCTTTTATATATATAACATTTGTATATCTATATAGAATATGTATACATACGTATATATGAATATACTAGAGGCCAAATGCACAGAATTTGTGCAAGAGTAGGCCTTCCTTCCCTCGGCTGCCGGCACCAGCTTCCTTCTGGCACCCGGGCTTCCTTCCTGCATCTAGGACCCAGGCTGCCGGCAGGCACCTGGGACCCGGGCTTCCCTCACAGCCCTAGCTTTGTCCAGAAGGACGTCCGGTCTAATTAGCATATTATGCTTTTATTATTATAAATATATATACACACACACATAACTAGTATGTCTCTTTTTTTTGGCTTCTTGCAGTGGCCAAAACTTTCAAAAAAGTGGTAGGAGTAGGCATCTTTGACCTATTCCAAATGTTAGAAGGGGAGTGTTTGATCTTTCAGTATGAAGTTTGGTGTTAGCTGTCAATGGTTTTCATAGCTGCGTTTTATTCCGTTAAGGGAGTTTCCTTTGAGTCCTAGTTTGCACAGTTTTGTTTTTTTATAAATGGGTGTTGAATTTGGTCAAATGCTTTTACTCCATCTCTGCCATGATCACAATATTTTTGTTCATTCTGTTAATGTGACAAATTATAAGGATTGAATGTTGAACGTAAAACCACTTGCATTCCTGGGATAAACCCCACTTGGCCAGAATGAATTCTTTGCATGTATGGCTAGGTTCGAGCACTCACATTTTGTTAAGGACCTTGGTCTACCTACTTAAGGGATATTGGTTTGTTATTTTCTTTTCCTGTTAACATCTTTGTCTTGTTTTGATATCAAGATAATACTGGCCTGATAAACTGACTTGGAAGTGTTTTTTCTCCTCTACTGTCTGAAATAACTGGTGTAGGGGTGACATTATTTATTCCTTAAGTGTTTGCTAAAATTCATCAGTGAAAACAACGAGGCTTGGCGTCTTCTTTATGGGAGTCTTCTTTTTAATAAAGAACTTAATTCCTTTAAGAGATGTAAAGCTGTTCGTATTTTCTACTTCTTCTTGTAAAAGTAAAGGAATCTGCCAAATGCATTGAATTAAATTTGTTCATAATATTGCTTTACTTACGAGTGTCCGGACTAATGAGTTTTTTTGAGATACGAGCCGTCTCTCAGCCGATTTTTTGCTTTGAGTTGCAAGCTCAAAAAAATTCGGGTTACGAGCCAGCTTCAGATACCCCACCGCTAGTTGGCGCAGCGAACGTCACAGTGATTTGACATACGAGTAATTTGAGTTATGAGCTCCGTCACGGAACGAATTAAACTCGTAAGTCAAGGCCCCACTGTATTATCTTTTTAATGCTTGTAGGCTCTGTAACAGCTATAAATATGTTTAAGTACTCAAAGGAAAAAGTGATCATAATGAATAAACAGAGGGAATTTAAGCAGAGAAATGGAAACTGTAAAAGACAACCAAATGAAAATTCTAGAGCCAAAAAATACAACAACAAATGTAAAGGTAACTGGGTGGACTTTAACTGATCTTAAGAGCAAATTGGAGATGGCAGAAGAAAGAGTCTATTAAGTCGAAGACACATTTAAAAAGAATTATCCAATCAAAAGCATATGAGAGTAAAGCTACAGGTAACGTGAACCTGAGAAACGATATTAGAAAGTCTAATATAATGGTGCCTACGAAGAAAAGAGAGAGAATGGGGCAGAATAAAAAATATTTGAAGAAATAATGACCTAAAAGTTCTTGAATTTGGGATCAACTTAACAGATCCAAGAATCTCAGCAAATCCCAAGCAGTATTAAACATGAAGAAAACACACCTACGCATGTCACAGTCAAACTCTTGAAAACCAAAGATAAAGAGAAAACCTTGAAAGCAGTCAGAAAAATAAGGACACATTGCATATGTCTGACTTCACATTAGAAAAAAAAATAGATCAGAAGCAATGAAACAAAATTTAGGTGCAGAAAAGAAAAGTGCTTAGCTAACATTGCTCAGTGGTTGAGCATCAACTATGAAGCAGGAGGTCACAGTGATTCCGGGTCAGGGCACATGCTGGGGTTGCAGGCTCCATCCCCAGTGTGGGGCATCCAATCAATGGTTTCAATCAATGATTCTCTCTCATCATGGATGTTTCTCTCTCTCTCTCCCTCTCCTTTCCTCTTTGAAATCAATACAAATTTTTGTTTTTAAAGAAAAGCCAACTAAGAAATCTATGTACAGTAAAAATATTTTTAAATGAGAGAGAAATGAAGACATTTTCAGATAAATGACAGCTGTGGTGATTCCTCATCAAAGGGCTCTCACTGTAAGAACTGCTAGAGGAAGTTCTTCAGGCAGCAGGTCCTCACAGCAGCCCTTGGTGGGTGGGTGGGGGTCAGAGCTTGTCTGAGCTGGCGAAGGCAATACTCATTCACGCTATGCCTGGGCCTCCTGGTGCAGCCTCCCGCCTGATGTGCTCAGTGACGGGCAATCCTGACCCTCACCCCAGAGCGGTGCCCGTGTGCACGAGGGCTCCCACTCAGGCAGCATCATTTCCATCATCACAGAAAGCAACAAGGCCATTTCAGGTTCCTCATTTGCCCCGAGGCAGAGACCGATCCGGCTCAAGGAATCTGAAGCCCTATCCTAGAAGGGCCCCTCCTGCTGCCCTGGCAGCCGTGTTAACTGACCTCTGCCTCCCAGGGAGCTGATGGGTAACACACCTTTTGAGAGACGTAAGGTGCTGGATGGGACTCTGACTTGCAAGGAGTGGGCTGATGTGCACCACATACTCCATTTAGACACCTTCTCCCAAAGACTTTGAAAAATCACACACTCCCCCAGCCATGGAAACCCAACCTCTGCTCATTGTCAGGACTTTATTATTATAATCACCCGCCCAATTCCAGCCACCATGGGCTGAACAAGGAGTGACTAAAGCCCTTTGGAGGTCTTGTCTCCCATCACCCGCTCCCACAGGCAGAGGCCAGGCACTGAGGCCTTGGTGGGCAAGGAGGCGGTGTGGCTGCACACTGGGCCCCACGGGGACTTCTGGGGAGTCTGGGCATCGGTTTCTCACTTATCAAGTGGGAGTCTCCCCCCACCCAAAAAAAAACACCCAAAACAAAACAAAAATATACACCACATTCATATGTTGCTTTGATCTTACATTCTGTCTCCTATCTCGACCCTGGCAGTTCAGGAGCTAATTGCATCTGCTCTGGGGAAATTGTGGGTATGAAAATTCTTCAAAGATGCTTAAGACCACTAGGTGCCATTAACTGTTCTCACATAACATGCCTGCGTGTCTCTCGAATGGAATTATAAAAAGGGAGCCTGTGGGGTGCCCCATGCTGGGGTGTCCACATACATGTGCCTCGTGCCCAGTCCCCTGGGAGCCTTGGCTGGGTCAGTGGTCAGTGGTCAATGATCAGAGCAGGGAGCTGGGCCCAGCTGGCTCCTGACCCCCAGCTGGTACATAACAAGGTCACATGGTCTCTTGGTTATGGTTCCACTTTATTCCCAAGCCTTGGGTGTTATTTGATCATCGGTTATAAGCCAAAAAGATCCCAGTTTTATTAGGGGAAAAAAACTTAATTTC